TCCACAGCCGGCTAAAGGCGTTTGAAACTACATTGAAAAATTTTCGAGTTTACATTAATGTGGACAAAATAAAATGAAATTATTTTAACAATTATTGTGTTACTTCTGCTACGCCGGCCAATTGCGATACGCACGCACGCGCTAGGAATTGCAGCTCTAGATTGACGCGGCCCTGAAGGAGAATGCAACGAGGGCGCGCATTCTGTCCTCTCCTTGCTCCTTCATTGCGATCATTGCAGCCGCGAAATCTTTGTTCGACGTCTCCGTCACTTCTCCTCCCCGTCCGGCCCGCGCGAGATCCAGTTCACTTTATCAATGCTGTCCGAGGAATGCGACGGAATCTTTTGACGTAATCAAGTGCACGTATATGTTATTCATAGAAAAGCAGGTCAATTTTACATGTGCGTTAACGTTACACGCCTTCTTTCGATTGTTTCCAAGTGTTCCGCTTCCTTCTTCTTTCTTTCGAAACAAGGACTGTTATGATAATTTGAAATTAAATGGAGGGTGTTTTGTTAAGCCGTTTCTCTTGGAGAGAAAAAAAAGTCTCGAGTCGTGCGAAATCGACGTAAAACGCGGACGATTGTTCGCGGTGTGTCAGTGGTCAGCCTTGAAGACGAAGGCTAAAATCCTTTCGCGTTTCATCATCTCGCGCACGATACTATTCATACTTCGAGACACTAAGCGTCCAATTGGATCAAGTATGCGCGGATAAAGACGTTAGATGAACTGCAATCGGCACATTGCGTCGTAAGCTTTCTTACGTATGTATCTATTCCCAAGCAACCCCGTATTTGTATTTATTCCGCAACTCTGTCGCATGACAGAACGCACTTGAGTATCTGCTTTCCTAATCGTCGCTTGCGACAATCCTACTTGACATAACACGTGTCGCAAAATTTTGTAAATATCTGCGAAACTTGAAGCAAATTTAATTATAAAAAAAAACGCCAAGTCAAGAATTATTGCAGAGAAACGGTGAGTCAACGACTCACTTGTTTATTAAATTGGAATTAAATTAACGATGTGTCAACATGAGAAATTTAAATATATCTTAGGCGTTTACAAAATACACTTGCGGAAATATTTGCTTATCTTTTTGCGCATAGTCGCAAATTTATTCGTCTTATGTGACGATGTGCAGGCACACTTGCGCAAGATTAAGCGGCCTATCTACGTATTCCTCGCTAAAAAAAGAAGGAATTCAACCTCGCTAATATGTGTTTTCATCCGGAATTCCGATGCTACGTTGCAGATCGAGCAGACATCCGAGCTGCAATAGCTCAGAGCAGAATTTTTTCACTCGCGCGAACAGGAACGTCTGACGTTCGCGGTTAATTCGGCAATGAACGCAATCACGAGTAAGCGGTTGAGATTGGAATCTTTCCGCTCGATACGCGCGAACGAGAAAGTCCGAGAGTTCGCTAGGATATTCCCAGGCATATTCATTAATGGCACAGTTATTTTAGTAGAAATTAAATGTATAAATTTATATTTATCTTATATTTAGCCATGTATATAAAAATTTATTGCTTCAGCCATTTCGTTAAAAACTGTTATCTCGCCAGCTTAATTAAAAAGATATTTATGAGCTAGTAAAAGAACCATAAAATGTTTTTGTATTAATATTAATATATTTTTAAGCGAAAGACTATGAAAACTAAAGTTACATTAAAATAAAATATCGTCACTAAGTAAAAGCCACAACAATTTTTTATACACTGTAATGTAAAAATATTTTGTGATGAATAAATAATATTTTTTTTTTTAAATAGCCGAATCTCAACGGGTGATATCAGTCGCATATAGAATTGATGTCATCAACGTACGCTCGACGAATAATCAATTCTCAGATTAGGATTTCGAGTGACCTGGAAGAACCGTCAGCGAGAGGATCGGGACGTCGCGCGTCGTCGCGGAACGTTAATTCGGAAATTGGGCGCAATCGACGACGTAATCGCTTTTGTGCGGCCGAAGTGGACGGCGGAGTCCCGCGGCCGTGCCATTTGAGAGGCGTTTAAGCGCTGAAAGGTAGAGGTTCGGATTTAATGCACGACTTCCTATTCCTCCCACGTAGGCGCAAAGAGGTCGAGCGCCAAAGCCGCGTGTTGTGTCGGCCGTTGCGCCGCGCCGCGCCATGCGAATGGATCACGACGTGGATCTGTGCCGCTCTCTTTCCCGCCGTGCGATACATCAAACTGTCCGCCCTCGTTCCTTCTCCCTTCGCGTGTTCGCCGTCGCCGAACGCGTCGCGGCGCAGACAACAATAATTACGGAGCAATCAAATTGCTATTGCATCGATTGCAAATCCGACCAATAATCACCGGAGCCCGGTAATTAAGACTGTGTATCCACAGTGTAGGCTGTATCGTACATTCGAAATTATAGAATTACATTAATCGACGAAGAGAAAAGGCTGCACGCGGAATAGAAATCGATTGAAGCCGCGAAATCACTGAATCAAATAATGAATAGTGTTCAAACCGACTGCGCCTCGCGCAAACCAATCGAAAGCGAAGAAAGAGATAATTAAATATAATCACGTGGTAATTGTAGAAAAATAGTGAAAATAATGCGCGTCGCGCAGAAATATCGCATGAAAATACATTTCATACCGCATGCAAACTTCCATACACTCGCGTATTTATAGCGGCATCAAAGGTGCGGTGTACACTTAACGATCCCAGAACGTCAGCCAATATGGCTTATGTCACTCTAATTATAAGAGAGACACCTAAGCACACACCTGCGCATGTGTTCGCCTAATAAATACTTTCAATATTTAATAAACAGTTACACTTTTTTTCCCACCTCAATCAAAACCGCACAATCAACAATCATCTTTTTACGGACATTGTTTTAGCGACGTTACATGATTACTGGTCGGATTATCCTCTCGTTGATACAGTGAGTTTTTTTTCTTCTTTTTCTTCTTATTTTGTGTTACGAGCGACTCACCGTGTGGGAACCGTGAAAGTTGCGCGGTTATTTACTGGAGCTTTCATAACGAGGAGAAGATGCACCGTTAAGATTTAGCTCTCGCAGCAGGAAAAGTTGCCTTACAATTTATTACGCGAAAGCGAACTCGGCTACGTTTTATCAAATACATAAACCCGCCGGTGTGTATGACGCGTAGCGCGTTACCTGCGTCCATTGCGTACGTGCCGTGTCCGATTCGCGTTCTAGAGAGGCCATCGAAGAAAGTAGAACCTTCGGCCGCGTCACGCACGACCGCGCCGCGCATAGGCGCGACAGCGACTCCGCCGCGGCGGGATCACACGCGAAAGGCATATCTCTCTCACCGGGCATCCCACATCCACCGCCGTGTGCCGCGATAACGAAAGTATCGATCTTGCGCCAGACCGAGACCGCCGCGACGTGCCTCAATTAGGCAATAATCGAGAACACGACGTTTCCTCGACGCGTAATTCGCTATTAATAGCAACGATCGCGACGTCGCGGACTCATACAAGCGCACAAGCGAGCGATTTTTCCTTCCTTTCCCGATCGCCCCGATACGAACTTTTCATCGGCGGAAAATTCCATTTGCATCGCATTCGTGGATCGCGATGTGGTCCCCGTTAACCCGGAAGTAACACAATGGCACACGACAGGTTAATCCCCGTGATGGGCCGATGAGAGGTATTACGATCACCACGTGTCAGGCGTGTACCTCTCACAAGCGTGACGCGTGTAACAAGGCGAAATAGAATAGCGGTCCTTTCACGTATGTACGTAACGGATGACATTCACACGGGCGCATCGAGCGTCGAAATTCCTCGCGCCGAGAACGTGAACACGAAGTGATCGTGTCTTGATGTACAAATGAAAGGATCCTCTATTCGACGCCACTCTCCGGAAACACAAAGAAAAATCGTGGCCGCACAAAAGGCCCCGCGCTCGCGGGAAACGTTTCCACACGAGCCGTTGAGCAACTGTCGTTACGACAGCGCAACCCTAATTATTGTTCAAACATACACGAAATTATTGTTCAGCGTATTGCACGTCTTATTTTTCTTCAACGCGCCGCAACGCGATGATGAAAAGTTTGCAATTTGAAAATGAAG